TATTTTATCAACTCAACTAAAGGATTGAACTGAATGTGATTCTTTTTTGAAATTTACTCCTATTGTACCCTCTTAGAGCAAAAACAAAAGCAAATGCTAAAACAATAGTATTTATTCTACTATAAATGTTTAACTTGTGCCCACAGCCACAAAAGTTGAGAGGACTGTCACATAAATGCAAAGATGCCTACTTTTTTTCACAAAACGGCCATTTAATTTGCTTGTCGTCATCAAGCTTCTCTTTAGTCATAACTAATATTCAAAATTTTGATTTTGTGGACCATAACCCAACATATTTTTGCCTGCCTCTTTTGAAAATTTCTCTATTTTCTCAGCTCAAATAAAAATTAATAATAATAATAAAGTTTATATTGTTTTGGACACTCAACCTGTTGTCATCTTACAGTGTGTATTTGTTTATTATTATTATTATTATTATTTGAGCTTTGAGTATCTAAAACAATTACCTTTTGAATTATAAGACCCTTAAAAATTTAGGATTTGTGGTTGTGACTTTTTTTATTTAAATTTGTTCTTAAATAATAATATTTTTTTCACATTTTAAAAGAGGTAGATATATATTTTTTATATTTTTTATTATATCATTATCTTTCAATTTTAATTATTTATTTTATTATAAAAAATATTTTTATTTTTATTATTTATTTAAAAATAACATAACTAAAAATAAAAATTATCTCTAAATTTTTAATTCCAAGATAAATGTAAAAGAATCTATTATTCTATGACAAATGACATATTATATTTTATATCAATTTAGGGGTTTTGTTCTGAATTCCAACGGCATGCAAGATCCTCTTCTGTAGCTTTAGATCTTGAACTGTTGTGTCGGTCATGGCAGAACAGCAGTGTAGGAAAGATGGAAAATGGGGCCTGGCCGACAAATCTACCAGCTCATTGGATGCTTCACTGCGTCGGTTTCAGGGCATGAATTTGCCTCTTCACAGCATAGCAATCAAATTTTCTTTCTTTCCCTTTTTTGCATTTTCTTCAATTATATGTTATATGATCCCTGGGGCAATAAGGCCATTAATGAGGTTCTAACCAAGCAGACGTCTATTATAGATTGAAAACTATTTCCCAAAAAAAGTCTAAACTAAATGTATGTGTGCATGTGAGCGGCAGGGTTCATGTCATGACAACTAAGTGTGGAGTCAACTTCAGAACCCTTACATGATGTGATCTTTACAAATATATCCATGATAATGTTTTGTCGTCTAAAATGCGTAATTTTTTTTTTTTGTTGTTGTATATATAGTCAAGTATTTATAAAATAACATTTTAGTTTGTAATTCAATTAGTAATGTGTATGTTTTATATTCTTAAAATAGGTCATTTGAATGAACCTCTAAAAATAATATTTGTAAAGTAAGCATGCAAAATTAGGGTTTATCCTTTAATCATTTGATTAGGGCATCATTAGCAAATTTAACAATGCTAACTCTTTTTTTTTTTTTTCTGAAAAAAGTTCATAAAAAGCCTTTTTCTTCTTCCTCTGTTTCTGTCTTTTCCTTTCCATTACTAGAAGAAAAAAAAAATTGTTAAAACTCAAATTTGTTACGATGCTTGTAAGTTTTGGGTCAGATGAGTTTAGAATTAGATGCTTCTCTTATCAATAGATTGCTTTTGATTTTGAGGTAGGGATCGAACATGATGCATTTGCACAACTCATCATTTTTTGGGTCACATGCACAACTCATCAATAGAAAAAGACATTTCATGAAGAGAAAAAAAAATCAATTCTCTCGTACACATTTTAATCATAACTCGGGATCATTTAACAAATTATACTGTTTGTCCTGCCATATGCGACAAATATAAGGGGAAGATTTACACAATCTTATTTCATAAATGAGTCTCACAAATTTTACATGACAATAATTATGTGTATTTTTTTATTCAATAAAATGCATGAATTAGTTTGTCTTTATTAAATTGATGTAAGATAATTTTTGTAAAACTTTGTTGGAAGTTAAGATTATATGCAGTATATCAGTTTGATATATCAAGTCTTGTTCCCTTCTTCCTCCATTAATCTCTTGATATTTTAGCGGAAACAAACAAAAATAAGAAATCACATGAATTTGAACCAAAACCAAATGAAATAATTGTGGGGATAAATGTCAAAGGAAAAATGATTGGGAGTATAAGGTGGCAAGTTTTTTTGAGGAAAAAGAAGAAAATTATTGGGGATGATGAATGGTGCTATTATGGCAACAAGGATTAGAAGAGAAGAAGAAAAATGATAATGGGTTAATCATGTTCAAGTCCAGAGGCAAAAGGTTAAAGCTGTATGACCTTTCATACAATTGTTAACGATTCACAAAGGCTAAGTGAGTGGCAAAAGGGTAGCTTTTTAATTTTATGTTTTGGTTACGTGTCAAATGTATGACATCAATTATTGAATTCTACTTCGGACAATGACTTCCATCCCATTGCAGCTTCTCAGTAATTGAAGAAGGGCCTTACCGACACCTAAATTTGTTTCTAAGCGACAACTGGGTACATGTAATTATAAAAAAAATAATGATCGATAAACCTTTCGATTTAATATATTTAATAATATTTACTGATTTAACATTAATAAATTAATAATTTTAAATTTGAATTCAATATAAAAAATATTTTAAAAATAAATTTTAATAATTGAATCGATAAGTATTGTTAAATATGATGAATAAAAAAAAGTACCAATCATTTTTTTTTATAAAAAACAATGAATAGCAGAGATCACAGACTGGAAATGTAGCAAATGTCCCAAAAAATTGAATCGATAAGTATTGCCTTGACCTGAAGGTCCATTTTTGGTACATTTAAAACAATTTTATAGTCAGATTTGAGAGGCGATCTCACAGCTGCAGGCCATATTATGTACGTGGCCCAACTCAACCAGGAAGACAGAGAAAAAGAAAATGAAATGGTTCGCTTTCGTTATTTTTATTATTTAAATAGTAGAATAAATACCATTAAATAAGAGATAGATTCCCATATTAAGAAATTTCCATTTTATATAATAGTTAATTTGATGTAATATTATACAATTTAGGCTGCATCAA